GGTGCCGGCCCCCGGGCACGCGGCGCGTGGGCGGTGCCGGCCCCCGGGTGCCCAGCAGCCCCCAAAGGTTGGGGACCACTGCTGTAAACAAACTTTATGGAACTCCGGAACTTGGCCACACGCTTGTTAAGTGGACATCTAGCTAACAAATCATTCCAGACCATGGCGGTCACAGGACTAGAGAGGTTCAATCTGTAGTACTGAATATGTGATTCTCTTAATAGCAAATTATTCCCCATTTTAAAAGTCCTACAGAAAGTCCTACAGCACCAGGACCAAACTGCACAACTCTAAGATGCCAGTTTCCTACTTGCATCTATTATTTCCTTGACATTTACCACAGCTTTGATTTGAAATATTCAGCTATACCTCTACTAGAGAAAGTACCATACCTTTAACCTGGGAAGTGAAGATGCCCTTGATGACCAGTTACCCCTGGTCATTAGGGCCCATTTGCTGTTTGCGTGATGGAAATTGTCATAGTCAGTGCAATTCCAGGCAATCTTGCCCCTGGCGTTGTAGCCTTGTATATCAAGAATACTGGGTGGCGGCTGCCTAAAATTTAAAAAGCAGGGGAAAATCAGCCCTGAAAACAAGTTATTCCTGGTACCATTATTTTGATTAGCATTCAGAATTCTTTACATAAGATTTCAATATCTCTAATAGGAAAGGGTTGTTAATTCTAAAGACTTTTTGACGAGGAACTTAAAACAAGATTGCTTCTATTAATACTTACACCTATTCTGCTTCCCAGAAGAATGACTATAGATCTAAAGATGTCAGCTTTTTTAGTAGAGAATGCAACTTGTAGGTACCTAGGTTTCAACTTATATAATTAACACGATTGCAGTTAAACTGTAAAGACTTGGCCCATCTAGGGCCATTGTTCTGTGCAGTCATACAGAACTTTCCAGTTGGATAACCAGTCTCTTCCCTACCTTGCAGGGCCAAAGCTCTCCCCTCCTTACTTTACTCAGTGGTAAACATTTATGGGACAGATGCTGAGCTGATATGTAATAATTTTGAATAATGCTATATCATTTTATTAATACTTTGTGACCTGGGCAGTGAGGGGTAGTTATGTACTGGGGTAATAGAGGGTTTGTGTCTACAATATGTGAATTCAGTGGGGTCTTTGTATAAAGACAACACAGTTGCTTTCCAGAAAAGAACACCCGTATATACTTTAAAGACAATAGGGTAAGCTGTTAGCTTCAAGGATCCTGTCTCTCTAGCAAGTTGCAAACATTGTTTTGCTGAAACTGGGAGTCTTTTTAGTGAAGAAGTGCACTAAAGAGTTAAAAAGTTCACTTGCCCTAACTGTCAAGGGAGACCAGCAAACATGGAGAACAAGTCTGTGGAAGGAGGCTAAGAAGCTGGACTTTCCCAGAGCCTGGGATGCCTTAGGGAAAAGTCAGACATGTACAGTCTGGTTTATTGTTCTTTAAAATACATTTTTCTTGTGAAAGCTTTTGTTCTATATGAATACAAATTTGTTTTAAGGAAGCTGTTTGGTCACTGATTACCACTACTATGGTCCCACAGGGAACAGAATTGCAGAGTTGGGGCATAAGTCAAACCTACTGTGGCAAATTATAGTGGATGCACAGTAGATTGCAACACAGGGCCCAGTTTAAGAGTCAGAGAGTTGTGTAATTCCATCCTGACAGGTGTCTGCTAGAGAGGCGTGAGATCCCGAGTAAATGTACTCAGAGACTAAGAGGGGTCTGGGAAAGTCACTCCCTGGGAGTAGAGAGCTGTGTATGAGGGACTGGAGTTCATTAGTCTGCAGTTACTCCCTCAGAGCAGGGAGTTAGAGTTAGTTCATTCGAAGATGGGGGAGTTACAGGAATGACTCTAAAGAAAGGGTATACAAGGTCTGCACAGTTGCCAGGGAGACTGCCTCTGGACTGGCACACAGAGCAGTGAGCAGGCCTGGGTCCCTCTACCAGCCACAGGGGAGGCATATGAGAAGACCTCCTAAGACCACTGGTACAGAAAGACTTTGATACCCCAAAAGGGGTAGTCAGTAGCAGGGATGGGGAACCTAGGCTTGATCTGGCCAGGAAGGCTTGGGGCTCCCTTCATCCCCACAGTGGGGTTAGCTGGCACTTCAGCCATTTGGGGGGATGCTGGGTGTGCCAGTGCTGGTTTACCACTGCTGTGCTGGATGCTTACCCACACAACTCTGCTGCCACCTCCGTTACCCCACATGTATTTGTGACAAATGATTGACACCATGGACTGTGTGGGTTGCCTTTAACTGAAATGGATGAGATTTGTAAA